TCGAGCCCTGAAGAAAACTAAATGCTCACAATCTCTTGGGTCGGTAAAAAAAACATTGGAATTTGTAGTTTTGAAATCTAAACATGAAGGAATAGTAACACTGGATCAAAAATTTGTGTTTTTACTCCACGGATTCCGAAAATCGATTAATTTTTTTCTATGGTTAAGTTTTCGAGATAACTGCAATGTACCGGTATTCCGCTAAAAAGAAGTGGTTCCACTTAATCACGTATTCTCACGAACCAATCGAACAAACGTTACACAGGATGTGGCAAATTAAAGCTAACAAAATTTTCCATAAACCATATACATATATTTATGTATGTACATCGATTTTCGATAGGAATGATAGTTTCTGATAAACTAATTCATCATTCCAATTTTTTTTTTATGAAAGCATGAATAAAATGTAGACTTTACTGGGGGGAAAATAAAGAGATAACGATTTTTTGTATTTTTTTTTATTTTGTATGACTGTTCCTTTCCCAAAAAAATTAAGCTACCAATAAAGAAAATCGTTTGATAACCACTGGTTTACAGCAAAAATTATCTATGGATACCACTATCCCATTCCGACAATCGAGATATATATCTTTTATTCTGTGGATAACATTTCGAGATATTTGCGATTTACCGTTATTCAGCTTAAAAAATAGTCGTTTAAAATTCCACATAAACCGTATATACATCACTTTTGGATAGCCCTGATAGTATCTGAGAAATTAATTTATCATTTCTGACACCTCTTGCTTTTGATGCATGACACAATAATAGAAAGGTTTTGTAATAAAACAGTTTTCTCGCCCCCACACATAAAATCGGCTCCTTTACTTGTGCATAATGTTGCTTACTCTACAGTTTCTAGTGATATTAGTAGTAAAACCAAAAATTCTTCATACTAAATATTCGTTGGCATCACCTTCGTTTGCGTAATTTTCTAGAATAAGTGTAGAATAGTGACCGTTTAGCTATAAAATAACCAAAAATGCCGATTGGTAGAACTTTTTACGCTGATTACAACGATGCCAAATTTATTTGGCGCAGGCAAAAAATAACAAGGATATAAGAGGTTTATTTGCTTTGTTTATTTGTATTTTTTATTATCACTAAATTGTTGAAACCCAAAAGTACATCATGGTAAAATATGTAATATCGAATTAAAGATAACTTGTACTTTCTAAATAATATAAATTTTTTTTTTCAAAAAAGATTATTTCATGAAAAAATAACAGTTGTTCGTTTTTTAGTGGTTTTGGTTTAAAAATACAAGAAGCTATAAATTATGTACATAGCTGAAAGACAAATTAATTATCTTTATGGTGGCGTCATTAGTGTTTTTATCGCTTATACCTACAGTTCGTAAGATATTAATATTTAAAAAAATCTAAAAACTGAACTTTAAGCTTCTAGAACGTCTTCATTTTTTTACTTGCGCCAAATAATTTTGGCATGGTTGAAATGAGCATAAAAAGTTCTATTGATCTGCAGTTTTCGTTGTTGCATAGCTGAACGGTCGGTTCCAGGAAATGATGAATAACTTAAATCAAAAATGCACATATTTATGTATTGTTTAGTATTTCCATTAAAACACCAAATATATTCCAAATTCGCATAGAATAAATAATACACATTTTACTTCTAATTGTATACTTGGCGTACTTTTTGTAGTACGTTTCTACTACCGTTTTTGCAAATGGCGATCACATTCTTCCCCTTTTTCCTACTTCCAAAATACAAATCTAGATAAAGGAGTGTCAAATTTTAGATGTCACAAATTACACAACCTTGTATTATTGAATCATGCTTTTGATGCAAACACTCCACCTACTCAGGTGTACGTGGCGTATGAGTAACACTCTTTTCTGCTCATATGTATTTCATACAAAAAATCCTTGCGCATTTTCCTTTAACTAATCATTTGGGGGATTCACAACGGTGTCGTAAGTGTCGTATTGTTGTATGTCGTAAAATTTATAAGCATAAATAAATGTTTAGACCAACCAAGTATTTTTTAACACTGCGAAAATTCAAGATATGACTTTGATGGTACTTTGCGAACCTCCTTAATATATTTTTTTGGCGTTTAAAGTTTACGACATACAACAATACGACACTTACCGACACCGTTGTGAATACCCCAATTATTTTCTTATTTATCAATCGATTTTCTTCATTGGTAGCTTAATTTTTTTTAAGGGAACAGGCTTTCACACAAGTGCAAAACATTTACACGTAAATTGTTATTTTTTTAATTTTTTCCCTGTTAATGTTTGAATTTTTTGCATTTTTTCCATCAAAAACACAAAAAATGTGGAACGATTAATTAATTTGTCAGAAACTATCAGGGCTATCGCAAAGTGATGTATATACGATTTATTGAGAATTTTATTTGCTTTCATTTGCCGTATCTCGCATATTATTTAATTGGTTCGTAAGATATACTCTTTTTTTTTAAGCTGAATCACGGTAAATTGCAAATATCTCGAAAACGTATCCATAAAATAACTCGATTTTCGGAATCAGCGAACGATTCTACATACAAATTGGATAGTGGCGTCTGGAGAACAAAATTAAAATTAGAATTTGTGATCCAGTGTAAATTAAAAAGGAATGTGATCAAATAAATCGATCGGTTTATGGAGAATTTTGTTAGCTTTCATCTGCTGTGGTATTTCGTGATTAAGTAGAACCACTTTTTTAAGCTGAATAAGCGCAAATTGGAAATATCTCGAAAACTTATCCATGAAAACAATAACTCGATTTTCAGAATCAAGACGAATAAGTTGATCAGTACTTATGTTTTTACTTGTGGTAGTATCATTTTTAGTGCTCTTTCGCTGTAAAGTTAAAAGTAATTTCCAAAAGAGGCAAATTGAGGTTTCTTAGGGAGTTTAAGCAACTTTCCAACGCACATCTTTTATTATTGCATCATTAAAGGCAACAAAATATATTTCCATTTAATTATATATGCTGCGTTTTATTATTCAAATCGGAATAAAAATTGTTTGTGTAATTTGCTAGTCAAGGCATGTATATTGAAAAAGTTTTAATAGTAGAGCAGCTAATTTGGTTATTTTTAAATTATTGTTCAACCCTTTTTATAACTTTCACAAACATTCTAAATTTGCAAAATGTGTTTGCATGTGAAGCCTTTTTTCATAAAAAGAAGCGATTTAAAGTCGGCTTCTGGAACATTCGCTTATGTTAGGAGTACAAATGCTGCCTAATCGGCCTTACAAAGGATGGAGCGATGCTTCTGGAGGCAAGTAAATTTACTAAGGAAGAAAGTCGTTCAGTATTTTCAGAATATTTTTTATTATCATTATTTTTTTGATTATAAAGTATTCATACCATTAGTAAACTAAACTAACTTCACTGAATTTGACTGTTGTGGTGAAGATGCGATTTTACAAACGAGTAATTTGGATTAATCCGATATCTTTCCAAAAATATTAATTATAATTTCAAATATTTAGTAAAACTTCTATTTAGAATTTCAACTAGTCTACACAGTGGGGCTGAACGACCTACATGTAAGTTACGGAATTAGAAGTAAGTAAGGCTTCAATTCTCATACAAATTTAGGACTACCGTTAGTTTCTTCTTGATGCAATGATCGAACTTAACCAAATTAGTATGAGTTCACGCCGTGTAAAGTTATCCGGTAACATTCTTAAAAAAATATCCTGATGAATTGACAAACTACTCCTTTTTAAAGTCGGTTAAAAACAGCTGGGAATGTTCACTCAATTTTGGGAACTAACTTTTCAACACCATATTAAAAATAAATTTAATTTTGTAAATGCCAGCAGTAAGAACAAACTATTTTTGGTCATTTAAATCAGTTAAAAACACTTTACCAATATCCTTGGTAAACTCACTTCAAATCCAAATATTAAAGGAAAATAAAGTCTTACTTCTAGTCGATTTTTCCTACTCGCGCTCCGACAAAAGGGCTCTTTTTTCTTAACATACATGAGTGCAAATCTTTTGAAAGAGTACTAACATCTACGTAATTTTGGGTACAGAACCTATTAAAATGCAAGTTTACTCGGAGTTCCTCTTTTATGGATAACGAAAGTGGAAGTAACATACAAATCTACAGCACTAGAGTTTTTCATTTAAAATATATAAATTATATTTGCGATTTGATTTAACGTGCCAATTGTGCTCGACCCTTCGACGCGGAACCTGTGGGTTGTGTTGACACTTGTTGCGGTGTGGTTGTTCCTGGTGTCTCTGCTATGATACTGTTTGTGCCAATATTTGGACTGACAATGGACGTTGTAGGGGTACCAGGTACAGACACGATGCTGTTGCTAGTGGCACTTTCTGTGACTGTGGTTTTTCCCATAGTTCTTGTGCAACGTATACAGAAATAATCGTCATCTGCTTTTATTTGACTACGATTGAGCCCAACGCAAAACATATGAAACCACTCATTGCAGCCCCCATCACACTGAACCCAATCAACTTCACGACCAGTTGGTTTATGACAATTCTCTGCGCGACATTCTTCTTCATCGTCTTCTTGCTGTGCCATTTGATTACGTTGCGACTGCTTTTTTTGACCGACTACATTACCACTGTTGTTTGCATTAGTTCCCACACGTTTGCGTTTTTTCTGGCCGGATAATGTGTTCGCGGCTAAGTAAGCGCTCCCGCCATTTGAGTGTTTACTGTCAGAAACGTCATCAAGTTGTGGTTGCTTAGTATTTGTATCCGTTGTTGATTTTCGTGTAGACTTTTTAGAAGAAGAATTATAAGATTTATTAGGTGTTGCAGTCTTTTTGCGCGGCAGTGGACAACTGCTACTAATTAGATCTAACGACCGTCGTTTTTTATTACCACTGGTAGAGTTTCGGCCACTAATACTACCACTATTGCTGTTAGGACTGCTTTGTACTAATAGACTGTCATTCGAATCTTCGCCAGCTGAATGAACGCTGCATACATTTTGCAAAGATTTTTTATGTTGCATTTGATGTTGCTTTTGGAGTGCAACTGCTTCGTCTACACACAATGGCTGAATAGCTGCCAATATACGCCATAACTCATATGATTCATCTAGTGAAACTTCAAGGAGATCACCTTCCATCATTAAATCAATTAGATTTTCCTTTTCGCTGTCAGACAAAAGTTGTTGTAGCTCGAGATGTGGATTGGGCTCTAAATTTAGCAGATCCTCTTCATCATTGCTAAAAGTATCTTCAACAATTTGCAGGCGACCCTCCTCATCATCATCAGTACTATCTGGGTTATCAGAAGTGGCAGCGGTATCCTTGGAATTGCGATTGCCTCTCCGTCGATGTTGCTTGCGAAAATTATTTCCATCCAATACTCCAGTAACGCAAGCTGCTTTCTGTTTTTGCTTTCGCTGGTGCACTAAAATAGCTTCGAAAGCGGCGGTTACATCAGGACTAGTCAGTACCTTTCGAGCACGATCTTGCCAATTCATAGCACGTTCAGCGAGACAGCGCAGTGCTTCATCTTCTGGTAAACGTATAGGTAAACGTTGTAGTGATACAAGAAGTGGAAGGATAATTTCCAGCCGAGGTCGCTTGGACCGCACGCACGACGGGCAGAGCCACTTGGACCGGGAAATATAACTAATACCTGAGGATGGACCCGAATTTCCTAAAAGCGGTGGTACACAATCCTCGTGGAACCAATCACGACACAACTGGCAATTATACATAACTCCTTGAAACGGATTTTTACATAGGCAATACAAATCTTTCAAAGGATTTTTGGACATATTTTGACGTCTTAGTTCGCGCATATCGCGTAACTCTTTCTCTTCAGCTTTCTTGAAGGAGTCTACTATTTGTGCAGGATTCATTTCCTTTACAAAGTCATCCTCAAATGGCTGTTTTAAATCTGAGTCAATTATGACAGCGTCAGAGCGGGGCATTAAAACCTCAAGTAAAGTGTAAAATGTTTGCTTTTTCAAAAACACCCGAGCGGTGTTGTCTTTCCATTCATGTGCACTATTTAAATGACCTTGCATACGTTTCAACTCCTCAAGCTGAATTGGAATATTCCTGCCACGGTCCACAATTGATTGTAGAGTATGACAGTAGGGGAAATGGTCGTTTGTTTGCAGCTGTTCTACTGAAAGTAACCATTCTTTAGCTTTACGTAACGCGTCTTTAAGTAGTACGAATGATGGCACCAGACCATCTATTTCTGCAGCTGATTTGAGAAACAGCTCAATGTCGGCTAGCTCATGTTGTTGCGTAGTACACCGGAAATAGCGAGCCGCCTGCTTTTCCCATGCTTCAATTGCGGCTCCAATCTCCTGCAGTTTACGCATTTCTTTGTCAATTATTGGATCAGTTGGATCTAATTCAGTTGTTGCGCTGGCCAGTAAGTTTTTTATGTCACTATAAGTTAATTTGGTAGAAGGATTTCGCATACCTTGCGAACGTTTATACCACTTCAACTGCCTTTGACGCATGTACAACCGATTCATCTGAGGTAATTCTATTCTGAGCGAGTTACCTTCACTTATTAGTTGCTCTACTTCAGGCTCCTCCAACGAATCAATTGATCGGCTCAATAAGGAATTTGCACGTTCCAAAAACTGTTTGCCTAGGACAAGCAATTCTCTCACAGATGTGCCCTCCTCTATAATACAGCATAAATTATCGATTTCCTGCACAAACAATTCCAATTCCTCCATTGTAAGTTTATATTGAGCTGCTTCCTGGTTATTGTCAGAGCGGGTGCGAACCTAGAGAAATAAATAAACATAACATATTATTCAAAGGCCACAAAAAAGATAGGAATACAATAGCATAACTAAAAAGCATATCGCTACCTTCTAATAATAATAGCTATAATTGGCTCTTACGCAATATGTTAGTGTTTGGCCGAGCTTCTCATTCGATTTGTGGCGTGCGCCTTGATGTTGTCTCAAAAGGGGAGGGAGCTACAGTTTTACGCCGACTTCGAGCAGCGATTGTATTTTTATGAGCTGTTTTTCATGGCAGAAACACACTCGAACGTTTGCGAAGGGCGACCGTTATAAAAAAAAAAAAACTTTCTAATTTTTAATTTTTGATGTCGCATAGCCGCCACTACGTCGCTACCTTATAGTGCGTTTAAATTGCCGAGTTAAACACATTAAACGGGCTTGAACCAGTTAAATGAAGAAAATGCGTTTGCAAACAAGTTAAATTGCATGTAACTGTTGTTGGAAATTTTAACCAGTTAAATCATTTAACTCGCTTGAAAACCAGTTCAGCATAAAGTTGTAACCATCGGAAAGCATTCTGATTCAGCCAATCAGGAAGAGCCAAAAGCTTGCGTTTGGCACCCCAATCTTCAGAATACTCACAAAAAAAATATTCAAGGCAAAATTGACAAAATATGTTTGTTAAGACTTGGAAAACAAAATTTGTCAAACTGAAAACGATTTATCAGATTTACCTATCTATTCAAACAAAATGAAAGCATTTATATCATTTTTATAAAAATACTAGTTGTTAATTTGAATAAAGTATATTTGTCTCTTTAAAAAAATATATTCAATCATATTTATAAATCCTTATTCAAATCAACTTTTACCCTATGAAATGGAAAAACTTTATAATTGTGATTAAAAAACTGTAAATCATCTATTGTTGTATTCACAAAAAGTATTTTCAATGTAAACACCACTTTTTTATCCAATCGATTAAAATTGTTTAAGTTGAAACCATGTACTATTAAAAATGTAATGAAAGAGAAAACAAAAGAATAAAATTGACGTCACCTGCAAGAGCGTGCATTTGGAGTGGCGTGCGTATTTTGTATTTTAGTAACAAATTAATGTATTTACATACGTATTGTGGGGAATACTGCGTCAAGCGAAGCGAACAACAAGAAAATGGCAGAATGTTCGATGAAAGACGTAGAAAATTCGACAACAAGAAACGTCGAGTGGAGGAATACTGCGAACAGCAAGAGAGAATGAGCGATAGACGACAGAACGTTCTAGAGTTGCCATGAGTATGAGCGCGGGAATATAAGGCCGCTGCTACAGCGCACAAAAAGTTCAGTTGCGAATCAGCAAACTACAAGTTAAATTGTAAAACAGAGATCAATTGTGTTAGTAAGTTTTGTAAAGTGTTTTAATTGCTTTAAGAAGTATTGTTGATTGTTGTAATTGCATAAACAAGTATTATAAAGTCTTTGTTGTACAATAAAGTTAATTGTACTGTAATTTGGTCATCTTTAGCATTTACTTAACAATCCAGCGATACGAACCGAAAGGATCGTAACAATTGGTGTCAGAGGGGGGATTGTTGAATAAATCCCATAGGAAGTTCTGAAAATGGCAAAAATTCCAGAGCTAAAGATAGAGAAGCTCAAACAGGAGTTGGAGAAGCGAAGTTTAGCAACCTCCGGATGAAAAGTGGAATTATTATCACGGCTGCGAAAGGCAATGGAAAAGGAAGTCGTCGACGTTGACAAAAACGACTTCCATTGTGAGGACGACGAGGCATCCATGAATGGCAAAGACGAGGAAGAGGCTGCTGGTTCATCGAAGGATGTGGAGCAGACATCCACCTAAGGTTGAAGAGCAGGAAAATGCTCCTTGCGCGCCATATCGCAGATTTCATCGCAGATGCAAGCACAGGCAACACGCATGTCGTCCCAGCTGGAAGCACGGGATACACGTATAGCTCAGATATCATCGCAGATCCCAGAGAAGATCTCATCGCAGCTCGATGAAAAGATCACGTAGCTCCAGGAGAATTTAGTCAGAAACAATGCGCAACTCAAACAAAGGCAGGATAAAATCGAGGAAAAAGTGTGTGAGCTAGGTCTTCTCAGTGAATTGCAGTTGAATCGTCCAGCTGCTTCGACAAGCGCTCCCAAGGTAAAAACTCCATCCTTTGACGGCACGATTCCTTTCCAAGTCTTTAAGCTCCAGTTTGAAAAGACGGCTACAGCAAACCATTGGAGCATGGCAGATAAATCCGCTGCGCTATTCGTGGCATTAAAAGGGCCTGCAGCGGAAATCTTGCAGACTATTCCTGACTGTGAAAGGAACAATTACGATGCATTGAAGGGGGCCGTGAAAGACGTGGATGGAGCTGGAGAATCGCTACCAAAAAGCCAACGAGTCTTTACAGGAATCCGCCCGCGAGGTTGAGAGACTGGCACCTCGTAAGGGCAAAAATCCAGAGATTCATTAGCGGAATGCGGGACATGTACAACAAGCGAGAGACGTATGCGAATCCAAAGTAATATGCTCAGACACGTGAAACGGCGGCGCTCCTAAGTAGACCAGCCTACAAAGCCCATCGAGTACAAGTGGAGACACCTGACGCGATGAACGAGATCCTGAAAATACTCAAGTCGATGGCAGGGAAAAATACTCCTGGTACAACCGAGAGAAAGGATGGTGCTGGAAAATACTTTAGTTGCGGAAAACCAGTCCATTTTGCATGCGATTGTAAGACGGGTTCCAACAGGTCTAACAGTTCAGCAGTACGCAAACGCCGGGATGAGGAAAACTAGCCTAACTCCGATCAGTCGTTAAACTAAAACGAGCCAGCAGGAAAGGGCGCGCGCTAGCTTCCGAAATTGAATGCCCCATAATCTCCATCTCGCAAATTGGCAGAAAAGCGAGTAACGTTACAGTTGGTGGATATGTGAATGGGCAAGAGCGAGTACTAACTGTGGATACGGGCGCGTCACATTCCAGCATTCGATCTGATTTGCTCACTAAAGTGGTGAGGCTATTACCAAGGTTGAGGAGAGCAACTGGTGAGGACAATCAAGTTGTAGGAGAGGTAACATGCAAATACGCCATAGGGAATGTGGCGGAGTTACACAAGTTCATAGTCGCGGAGATTGTGGATTAAGTCATCATAGGAGTAGACCTCTCAAGGTATGCAGATCGACATGAAGAATAGGACCATGATGTATAAAAACATGGTAGTGCCACTTAGCTTTGGATATGATGGCCCGTACAGCAGCTAGCGAGTAATTCTAGAGGAAAGCGAACAGATTCCATCCAAGTCAGAAGGAGATTTTTGGACGAAGATCGATGGAGATTGTGCGACAAACAAGTTATGGGTTGTTGAAGCAACACAAAATTCTACACCGGACGTACTTATCGGTAAAACCCTGGCTAACAGGAAAAAAGATGGACGCATTCCAACTCGAGTACTTAATGCGTCCAAATCACCAATAAAGCTCCGAAGAGGAACCGGACTTGGACAATGTCGAGAAGTTGAGGCAATCTTTCACTGCGGTAAGTTACCTGAAAACGATTCCATTGGCGAGATTAACATTGCGGAAGACAGCACAAGGCTAAGGAACTTCTCCGCACATACCCCAACATATTCGACAAGGACGGCAAGAAACCAGGCAGGAGCAACGTTGTGAAACATCGCATTGATATTGGTGATGAAAGATTGGCCGACAGACTTTCCGGAGTGGTCCACTTGCCAAACGGGAAGCTGTAAACCAAATAATAAAAGAAATGAGCGAGAGTGGTGTGATTGAACCACCAGCGAGTCCATGGAGTTCACCGGTAGTACTTGTGAAGAAAGATGGTCAGATGCGGCTCTGCGTGGACTACCGGAAACTAAACGATGCAACGAAGGACAGCTATCCACTGCCCAGGATCGATGATACTGCGGACTCGTTGACTGG